TGCTCCTTCATCCTGAACATCTCATATTCTTGGGTGAGGAAGTCAATCTTGGCTTCACGTACTTGGTCCGTTCCTTCGTACGTCACCTCAAGTTTATCCCACATCTCCTTGGCGGTTGAGCAGCAGGAGATCTTGCGGTAGTCATCAGGATTTACGGCACAATAAAGCATATTTATTGCCTTTGCATAATTCTCGACCTTTTTGATGTCCTCGGCATCAAACTCGTCTTCGGTCTTGGGGATCAACTTGTCTCCGACTTTCTTCATCGGCACCTCTTCCCCGTTTTTGATAACCAACCATAATTGGAAGTTCATGGAACGAATATAGATTCTCATTCGTTCTTTCCAATATGTATAATTGGTTCCATCAAAAAGAGGTGGCCGTGTAGTTGATTGACCTTCTCCAATCCCTGCATAAAGATTTCTAGAAGAAGAACCCATGATCGCTTTACTCTCAAACAGTTAAGTTTGGACGCGAGTTAGGCTTCGATACCAATTGTTAGAATAAGTGACCAACGCTAGAGGGGGGGTGAATAGCGTTTGATCGTAGAAATCGCAGGAATAAAAAAATTAAGAACGTGAAAGATAAAGAGCGTAGAAAGCGTAAAGGGAGCACACCAAGATTTACCCTTGTTCACCACAACTTGTGGCTAATCCAGCCTCCCGAGAGACTCTCTCGAGCTACACTACTTCCGTTAAGCTTACGGGTGCTTAACAAACCGTTACAACCTGAGAACTCGAGTCCCACGAGCCTCAACAACACTTGCTCGGAGATACCGCACTCCAAGACTTCAACCCGAAGGAAAAATACCTTTCCTTCGTACAACCAAGGGAAACAAGCTTCCATAAACGTGTTTACAACACTAAGACACTCAAGAACAAGGCTCTCTTTTAGAGTAGATGTTGAGTAAACTATATACGCTCAAGAACAACTCAAAATTCACAAATTGGCTCTAGAAAGCTATGGAAAATAATGTTGTTTGGATGCAATGATAATATGTGTAACGCCCTGCAACCCGGTCTAATAGAATTGATTTAATTGATTAATTTAATTAATTAATTACTGTTCCGGACCGGGGTTGGGACAATGAAAAGTTCTTAGAAAATTTATTTGATCATATCATTAAATTCGTCTTGACTGTCTGATTCCAGAAACGCAAACGGATTTCAATTCGGACCCGTTTGGGGGAAAAAGCGCGTGCCGTTCAGGTCAGATTTTTACAATACGAAGTAAATAAGTTTTTGTAACCTCCCTAGACCCTTGGTTCGGCTCCTTCAACACCCCCATCATTTCCAATTAATAGTCTCCTTAATCCACCATTAAAACCCCATCATTTCCTCTCCCTTCACATCCCATTTTGTAACCCCCCAAGTATTCACAATCTCCACTCTCTCTCACTCTCTCATTTTCGGCCAAGGCAAACAGCAGCTCAGGAATCTCCGGTGAAGCTCCGGTGGGTGCAAGGTTGAAGGAGAAGAAGAGCTAGGCCGTCGTGCGAAGCGTGGTCGTCGTTTGTCCGTTCGTTAGCACCATTCGTTCATCTCGTTCCATCAATCCCTTCATTTAGAGGTGGGTAGTTGTCCCTCTAATTCTAAAAAATTTAGTTATAATCTATGTCGTTATATTCATAGGAATATCGTACGCAACCTACGTAGAATCTATGCATGTTCGTAGGTTAACCATCAAACATACGAGAGTCCGTGTTATCAAGTTACGAACTCGTTAATACAAGCATTTTGAAATTCCGTATATTCATGGAATACTTAATATGTAATCATAAACGTTCGTTCAAAGAAAACTCCCAACGTATTGATGATAACCAAACAGTCAAAATGGGAATCAGCGTGCCTTGGTAATCGATTTACAGAATGGAATAATCGACTATCAGGTCACGCTGAACTCCTCAGTTGATCCAGCATAGTGTGACAATCGATTATCACATAAGTGGTAATCGATTATCAGACCCTGCGGATTCTTGAGTCAGAGCTGGTTCACTTGACAATCGATTATCACAGAGCAGTAGTCGATTATCAGGTCTCTCTGAACTTAGGACATTCCTGATAAACCAACTGGACAATCGATTGTCATAGGGTGACAATCGATTATCACAGTCTACAGGACTTTGGGGACAGAAGCTGCACAGCATGATAATCGATTATCAACAGCAGATAATCGATTATCAGCCAGTTCTGAACCCAGGGCCATCATGTTGAATGAACCGTAATCAAACACATATGTAAGAATTGAATTTAACTCTTTTCTTTAATCAATACATTCATTTCATCATGTTCGTTCTAGACGGATGTTCTAGGTTTCCATCATATGCATACCGCTGTAGGGAGGACTTCAAGCGCCTACTATAGTGGGCCCGTCCAGGAACCTTTGGGGGCCAACGGGTTTTCATCATGTTGGGCTTGTGTACGTACATAGTAGTCAGGTTACGGCTACTACCCGGTTCCGCTAGTCCACTCGCGATGTTTTCGTCGTGCCCGGCTCGTTACCGTTCGGGGACGATGACCGGAGTGCAGGGGTGATCCTGTCGAGTGAGACTAAGCCAGGGGTGTCCCTGATAGTTTAAGTCATGCACCAAGTCATATCATCATCATTATGTTCCTTGTTATTCGAAACAGCCTTAACAGGTGAAAACTAAACAGTTAGTAACGTGTGGTGTCCCGTACGTTAAGTACAGGTATTGATATGGGTATAGCCACATGGGTTATCACTTCATGTTCTTTTGTTAGATTCACTCCTCAGCTTTTGCTGAGCGTGTAGTTGTTTTTGCTACACGCAGGTAGACATGACGGAGCAAGTGCCAACCCTGGAGAGCGGTGACGGTGGGGAGACGGGCGGCGCACGGACGAACTCTTAATTACTTTCAGTAACTTCGTTAATCAATTAGGCATGAACCCACCCTTGTCGTTATTTAATTTGGACTGAACTTACTTAATTACTTCCGCAATTACTCTGCACTTTTATTACACACGTATTGGGAGTAACTCCCTGGCATTTATTCCTTTAATTAGAACCCAACCGTTTTCTTATTAAATAAACATTTATGTTTCCGTAACGGATGGTTCTCGGACTGTCCATGTAACCCTACCGGTCCGTTGGGTCGCGGGTGAACCGGGTCCACGGAAGGCGGGTGTTACAAT